TCTGTGAGTACCAATATGGATTACACCTTTCACTCTTAGCATCCTGATCTGGCAAGTTCAACTCACTCAATACATGGATTATTTTTTTAATCTATCCTCGGTATAAAGGCAGCGCACAGAATTTAGTTCATTTTATCGCCTTTGTTATTGGTCCATTGTCTATTCAGCTATGCTATTTACCTATTCTTGTGAATTTAATTTCTTTTAATCCTAGATCGGGTTATTTATATGTTTATATATGTGCGTGCGTGTGTGTGTGTGTATGTGTGTATGTGTGTATGTATAAAACAGGATCTGTGGAACAAGTCCCATTTCCATTTATTTAATTATCGAGCTTTTATTCGTATTATACGCGATCCATTTCATATTTGCAACTGATTTGAGATAGGCGATGGTTACTGATCAAATGAAAACCATGTGGAATAACGACTTGCTTTTGAATAAAAATTTCACTACTCCGTATCTCGAACGAGAATGTTCATTCGGGGTTGGATGAAGTTTCGATCTCGCCTGTACCCATTAATCACTCTCTTAGGACTTAAGGCATGAGTTCAGTAGCAGAGTGGACCAACTACAAATGCATAAACCACTAACTCACCTGCCGGAGTATGTGCCCTTTATTCTGAGTAAATCGCCACGTAGATTCCTTTGTCCACTTTTTGCTCCAAAGGTGCTCTTTCAAGTGCCTCAATCTATCCTTCAAATTTTAATTATTCTTCGTGCTATTCGGTATTTATCTCATTTGCTCTTCGCAAGCTGAGTGCCCATGACCAAATTCGACTGCTTCGTGGCTGCTGCCTCGACCTGATCACACTTCGGGCTGTTTATTCTCTTAGCCGTGCAGCTCGCCGGCCTGGCGGCCCTGCATGCCCGCCTGATTCACTTGCGCCTGACTCGACGGGACCAAATGGGCCACCGGCTATTCAGAGCACCGCATATCCTCGCCTTGGCGTTTCAGAGGAGAAGTGTGCCCAGTTGATCAGACAAGTTGCTTTGAAGCTGGCCAGACTTGAGATCGACAAGACTGAAGTGGCCTTAATGGCTGCCATTCTGCTTATGTCCCCTGGTAAGCCTATCCTCATAGTTTATTCCTATGGTAAGCTGTGTTAAATTGTATAGGATTTCAAATTTCGTGACCATAAAGTGTTGCAGACACTAGATTTATGAGTAAAAAAATGGAAAACTGATGGTGCTGCAGGTAGACGGTTCCAGGTCAATAATTTATTTGGATTCTCTCAGGCTGATTTAAAGGTCTGGATCAATTCACACAAATGCCACTTAAGCTCTGGGTGTTAAATGGAATAAGGGTTGCTCATGGACCATTCAGCTGCATGAGGTATAGCCATTATGGAGGTATGATAGCTCAGCTCTGACATCACCAGGTTAAAATTAGATTTCATATGCGGGTACATTTTCAAAGCTCTCAATTACTCTTAAATAATAACCTTTTTCACCCTAGTTCGTTGAGATGATTTAGTTATGTTTATTGAAATTTCCCTCAGTGCAATTATTGAACACCACGGAGCCATTTAATCTCAATTAATCTTTACTCCAGCAGTTTCGACTTCGCCCAGGTATAAAAAAATCCAACTGGGTTGTGACCAAGACCATTTATCTTTCAAATAAAAATTTATTTTTTGGTTGTAAATCAAGCAATCATGTATTATTCATCACAATCGGCAGCATTACTCATTTTTTGTGGGAGACTTTCAAAGAAATCAGTGATTCTTAAATAAGTCCTATTCATATTCCAGATCGCAGTGACTTGATGGATATTACCGGTATCGAAGAGACTCAAAATATTCTACTGGAGACTTTCAATCGCCACGTGACGGAAGCGCGCCGTAAACGCCGTCAAAAGGTTGGGTACGGCTTTGGATCTGGGCACCATCAGTGCTGGCCCCGCATCATCATGGCCCTTACTGAGTTGCGTTCGATTAGCATGCACAGTCAAGAGCTTTTTGTACAGCAAGGACTGCTTACTACTCCATTCTCTATGTCTGGCTCTGGTGGTTCTCTTCTGCCTTGGTATTTTCACGAGCTATTTCTCGGAAATGAAAGCGACTCAGAGGCTGGTGAAGCTCTTTGGTCTAGCGGCGCTGATGATGAGGACGAGGATGATTTCGACGATAAAGTAGAGCATTCTGAAGGGGGGAATATCTTACATGAGGACAAATCTGGGTCCCTTTCGGTTCAAGCAACCAACTCATGTGATCAAGAAATGCCGCAAGGGTTAATCAATGAGACAACTATTGATGGTGATTATGAAGACGGTGAGGAGGATATGGTGGAGGATGAGGATGAGCAGAATGCATCCAACGTCACTGGATGTGTTGACACAAAGGAACACTTATTTGGCTGCATCGCGCCTCCACCTCTAGCTCCTATTCACCACAGTGTAAACTGGCAGCAGCATTTAAGCCCTTTCTCTTTATCGGAGCCGGGCTTGAGCCACGCTCTATCATCCAGCCCCGAGGCAGATACGTTAGTTACAAGACGGCTTTCTGGGGACAAGCGACCAAAGCCTGAGGATTGTAACCAGTTTTTGGAATTAGGGACTCACATGTCGGGTCTCTCGGCAAGTGGCTTTGCTGATCCAGATACCGAATCATTGGTCAATGAGGAGAAGCGTAGCCGTTGCGCCTTCGTAGCTTCTGCTGATCCG